AAGAGGAAGACTAATTAAAACTTCTGGCCGGTTTTTCTCCTCCATTTTCCCATGAACTGTCACGCTATGAAGAGTAAGGCCTGGTATTTCGTTTGTGCTTTAGACAGTACCTACTGCCATCCAATGAACAGGCACAAAAGATCCTGATTCACAGGCTGGGGGGAGAACAGACACTAGGAGATGTACTGTGCCATAAAACCAGTCCCTGGACTCTATGTCCATGGCTGTTTCTGGGACATCAGATTGCTTCCCAGGGAAGGGCAGGGCAGTTGGGCCCAGTCAGCCACTGGAAAGGAGATCCTGGGTACCCAGGATGCTCAGGCCTGATCCCAGGATCCTCAGCCAGGCCTGTGAGGAAGCTGGCCCTGATATGAGTGTGGTGATAGCTGACACTGAGGGGAAACCTGGGCCCGAGGAGAAAGGCACCTCAAATCCTGAACAGATGGTAATGATAGTAAGGGTTCACTGAGTCTCTTTAAACCTGAGCCAGCAATGCTGGCTAGCCTTTAAAGCTGTCAGAACGGGAAACCACAACTACCCATGGAATGCCTGGAAATGCCTGCAGTTTCTTCAATGATTCCTTTCACGTGTATTAAGTGCCTACTATGCACCAGGCACTGGGAAAAAGTAACAGTGAACAAAATACACAGGGCCATCCTCTCATGGCTCTCAAGTCCAGTTACCTAAAATTGTGTGTGCCAGATGCTAGAGGACAAGGAACGGGAAACCAAGGCATTGCTGAGGAAGCACGAGAAAGGAGAGGCAGGGTTGGGACCAAGGCAGGGGGATCGAGCCTTTGCTGAGAGAAACAGTGCTATTCTTTATCCTTCGGGTGATGACAGAGAAATGGATGGGCCTGAGAGGGACTTACTAAAGGTCAAAAGCCAAGGGCACTTGCCCCTGGCCTCACCGAAACAACCTCTCCAGTCCTGCCACTTGTAGAAATGCACCCGTGCTCAGCCTACCACTTTCGCAAACAGAAAACCACCAACTTGGAGGCTGCCTCTGCAAACCGAAGGGCAGGGAGTGGGGACGAGCTGCCAGGAAGCTCCCCAGTAGATACACTCGCCTTCTCCTAAAGCCCAGAAGCCAACCATCTCAGACACAGACTGAGGGCCGACCCCTGGCATCCTTGGCAGTGAACTCACCTCCTTTACCGCAGGCAAACTAGATTCTCCTTGAGCGTTAACTCCCATCTGCTGGAAGGGGGACAGGTGGGGGTGAGGATAGAGGACAGAAGAAAGGGGTCTGCTCCAACCCTTTCAACTCCACCGAACCCCAGATCCCAACTGGTGCGCTTACCCTTCCCTCTAGCCTTCTCTCTTCGCCAACATTTTACTTCTCACTGATGGCATTTCTCGAAAACGCTAGCTTCTCCAGGAAGCCTTCCCTCCACGCCATGGCCAGAGCTAAGGGAACTCTTCTTTGTACACCTGCAGCACATTTCTTGTATCTGCACAATAGCACTTAGACCCTTGTAGCTATTTTCCTCCTGTGGCTACTTCCGACTCTCCTTAGTAGGCAGGAACTGTGTCTCGTCCCACCATCATCAGTGTCAAGTATGTGACAAATATTCATTTGGTGTTAGCTGAATGGGAATCACTGAATCCCATCTGGTACAGCTGCAGCCAGAACATTTGCACACTGATTATCACTTCACATTTACAGGCCTGCTGCTGTCAAAGTTCAAGGCCTGGAGCAGAGTACCTGCCACCTCAACCTGCTTTATTAGGCTTAAGACTCAATATTCCCTGGTCCTGTCACACTCTTACTAGAATATCTTAAACTCTGTTTCCATTTTATTATTTCTTTCATTCATTCAACTGTAACAACTGTGCTGTGATGCTCTGCCCTCAATTTCTCTTCACTTTGGCTATTTTTCCAAGTAAGAGTGAATAAGAGCTTCCATCCATTGGAATTTATGAACTGGGTTAATAGCTATAACTATCCATTTCACTTTTCTACTCCAGCTGAACAGCACACTTCATAGGTTTCTTAACTGTGTTTAACAAGGCAGCTAAGTACAAAGATTTAAAAAAATAAAAAGCTCTAGGTTAGGAGGTAGAGGTCCTGGGTGTAAGGCCTGGGTCTGTTGTTGATTTGCTGCATGATTTTATTCACATCGAGTCTGCTCTCTTCACCTCATTTTTCTGAGGGGGCTGGGCCAGCTACCAGATGCCTTTTAGTGAGGAATTGCTAACATGCTATAAACCCAGAGTTCCATGAGGCATCACTAGAAGCTCTGAGAAATTAAATGCGCTCATGGCAGACATACTTAATAACATGCAACCACGCTTTCTTCCAACAATTCACTGGAGGTAGAGTTTCTGGCATAGGGGATGTAACCGAAAATGTAAAAGCATCAAAATGATTAGAAACTCTAGTTTAGTTAAGCCTCCACATTACATCTGGGTTTTAGTGGATCCAAGCAGAAACTTTTCTTTGAGGCCAAAATGCACACTATTACTCTATCAAGAAATCGCCTGCGTCCTCATATTAATAATACCTAACTCACAGGGTTGGTGTGAGATTTCATTCAGTCAATCTATGTAGAGTGCTTGGAACACTGTCTGACACAGAGTAAACAGGATACAGATGTTTGCTATTGCTAGTATTATTTGCTTTAGTAGTTGTTATTATCATCATTTCAGTCATTAAAAACTCTAGAGGGAAGAACAGTTCTATTCCATGATGATAAAAGCATGTTACCCTACAGATAACAAAGACTGGTATTTAACCTAGGACAGAATTCTTGCATTTATTTGAAATACAAAAATCAAAAGCAAATGGCCCATCATGGTGTAAACAGTTTTCTGTAACTTCCTTCACACTTGCTCTTACCTTTCTTGGTCTCAGGTTTCCATATAGGTCATCTGGGGACAAAGCTACTTGACTCAAAGACACTGACGGTAATTAGACTGTTTTTAAAGCTATTTTGGATTCTCTTAGAATAGTGATAATGAAAACAGGTTGTTTCTTTAAGAAAGGTAATGTTTCTCATACTGACAAACCTAGATTTACTTAACCTTCACCATTGCGACTCACAAACAAACCAAACAACTTTCCAGGAACACCACTTCTCATCCTACCTGGGAGGATTTACTCACTGGCCAAATGTAAAGTCAATGTGAAGAGAGAAGATAACGCCAAAACAAAGCCTCCAACACTCCAGTGAGTCACTATTCAGAGAATAATCACATTTTTCATTGTATTGTTCCACATTTTATAATAATAAAGGCAGTATTATGTCATTCCTTCCAAGGTCAATGACTGGGAGGCAGCAGGCACTTGAATACTTATTGTTGAATGAATGGCAATATGACCACTGACATTTTAGAGAGGAGGGAACAGGTACAGAGACCTGAAGGGGCTAGTCCTGTGTTCCAGCACATATGGAGCAGAGATCAGTTTTTAATTTGCCAGTGATCCTCAGGCTGCATCCAGATTACTGACTTTACTTCCTTATTTCCTTTCTGCAGCAAACTCTATCTGCAAATGATCCTGCACTGGTCCAGGATTGCAAAGATCCACCAGTGACAATGCACATGTCACCGAAGCAGTTAGAACAATGGCTCTGGAGCCAGGTGGACTGGTTCCTTGATCTTGACTCGAGATATTTACTGACTGGAGACAGGGAACTTACCATTTATGAATTGGGGACAATACTATTATCTACCTTGTAGAATTGTTGTGAAGATTAATTGAAATAGTCTATGTCAAGTACTTAAACACCTACTAAGTGCTCGACAGATATCAATTATTATTTTATTCTTATTAGAGGAAGTCATGAATTAAAAAAAAATATCAATGTCATAAAAAACAAAGAAAGGTTGAGGATATGTTCCAGATTAAAGAGGACTTGACAACTGGGTGCAATAGATGATCCTAGATTGCATCCTGTACCAAAGAAAAAAATGCTATAAAGAACATTATTAGGGTTTCCCTGGTGGCGCAGTGGTTGAGAGTCTGCCTGCCGATGCAGGGGACACGGGTTCGTGCCCCGGTCCGAGAAGATCCCACATGCCGCGGAGCGGCTGGGCCCGTGAGCCATGGCCGCTGAGCCTGCGTGTCCACAGCCTGTGCTCTGCAACGGGAGAGGCCACAGCAATGAGAGGCCCGTGTACGTACCGCAAAAAAAAAAAAAGAACATTATTACATCAATTCACAACATGGTTACAATACTTGAATCTACTGTCTGTATTACAATGTTAAATTTACTGAAGTTAATAAATGTGCTGTGATTGTGCATTTAGGAAAAAAGGCCGGCGATATATGCAACTTTCTCTCCAACGAGACAGAAAAAGACAAAACAATAAAGCCTATGGAGGAAAAGGTTAATAGGTAAATATGAGTAAA